CCCCTCACCATCCTCGTAGCCCTCCACTGGACTCTCTCCAGTAGCTCTTCATGTTTCTTGAAGTGGGGAGCCCAGACCTGGACTCAGTACTCCAGATGAGGCCTCAGACCACTGATAGATAATATGGAAATCTAAATCAAAGGGTTATGGAAAAAAAAGTCACGAAGTGTACACTTTAAGGTGAATTAATAGATTTATACAGGAAGCCCTAACAAGTACCTGAGCAACTCAGGAAAAATAAACTGCCATTCTGCTGCATTCTTAGTGATGAATGCTTGGTCTGTTTTGTCTTTCACCCAAAGCCTTTACGTGTGTGCTTATATATCGTACCATCCCCTCTGTTCCCTTGGCGTTTCTCATTCTAGGATCTCAGAATGTTTTAGTGTTTGTTAAATCCTACGGCACAGCTCCAGAGGATGAGCTACTGCTTTATCTGTTTCGTAATGGAGGAAAGAGGACACTACGAACTCTGTACGGGTAGCCTAAGATGGGAGGTGAAGAATTCTGTGTGTAGCTGTAACCTGAAAAGCAATCGGATGACAGCATGGAGTTTTCCAAGCTGGAATTCGATGGCGCACTGGGATTATTCTTGATGTACAATGTTTAGTGATTCCAGTTATCTTGTAACTTGTACTGGTTTGAGAGCATCCCTAGACCCTGTGCTGGAGCGTTGCTTTGTGCTTCCTGAGAGATGAGAACGCCTGCTCCAAAAGCCAGGAAACTGCTTGTCACCCGTGCCGATGCTGGCCTGGCCTGGCCTTGCTTGGCTTTTGAGATCTGGTAGTATCGCAGCACGAGGTGCTGCAGCCGCAGGCAATGAAAACATGGGGTTTTCCAGGGCTGGCTGCCTACCAGCAACCATCTTTAATGGATGAGTGAAAGCAGGTGACTTATTCAAAGCATTGCATGGAACCGTTCTTGATGTGTGCACTGGGTACAAGGAAGCATTGTCTCCCTCTGGAAGCACTCGGTTTTGGTACGGTTGTTCTGTGCTACCTTTTTTGGGGAGGAGCGGGGTGGGGGGGAATGCTGAGAGGGACAGCAGTATATTTCAGACTGTGTTTCTTTAACAGACATTCGAGAGCTGGGCCGAGTTTTTTAGGGCGTTGTGTGTGCTGGAGTAACAGCAGCTCCTTTAGCAAGATTTTATGCTTTAAAAGGAAGAAAAGCCGAAGGCAAAGAAATTGGTGGGAGAGAGGAGAGTAATCAGGTCTGTGTAATGCAGTTGTGGAATGATTTTGCTTGCACATCTTGATGGAGTTTCCATCTCCATCCTTAGGCTGCACTCCCTGCGTTCCCTGAGCCTGCACAATAACCTGCTGACTTACCTTCCTCGAGAGATCCTTAACCTGGTTCACCTGGAAGAGCTGAGCTTGCGTGGGAACCCACTGGTGGTTCGGTTTGTCCGTGACCTGACCTACAATCCCCCGAGCCTTCAGGAACTGGCTGGACGCACAATTAAAACTCGGAATGTTCCTTACGCTCCCAGCGACCTCCCGGAGAATCTTGTCCGGTATCTGAGCTTGGCCAGCAACTGTCCCAATCCTAAATGTGGGGGTAAGTTTGTCTTCACTGCTCTGCTTCCTGCTTTTACCTGATGGGTTTTCTTTCCCTCTGGCTTGCCACGACTTTAGTAGCTCAGTCAGGTTAGCTGTGTTGCTGCATCCAAATTCTAGCTGTGTTCATTGGCTCCAGGTGTCCTGCAAACTTGGCTTTAAGAAACCTTGTTGGGTTAGGAATGATGTTCAGAGTTGTAGTGCTGGTTTACTGTGTTTGCATGGGAATGTGAGGCAGCGTTTCTGTCGGAGTCTTTGCAGCTCAGCCCAGCACTCCACTGTGCTTTTATGGTCTGAAGTTTCCGATCTGTCTGCCCTGGAATAGCTCAGACTAAGTCATGGGCAGGAGGACTTTTGCAAGCACTGTTGCTGAACAGCAAGCTTCATTTATGGATGGAAGAGAGGAGGCAGGCTGCAGTGCTTGGCAGTTACCAAGAGCAACTTGTTTAGCTCTTGCTTGGGACAACTAGCGTGTAGTTCCTGGAAGGAGAGGACTTCATAGAAAAGCCTGGAATACTTGGGCTTAATTTGGCTTAATGCTTAATCTTTATCCAGAGTCAATGATCTGCACATTTAGCCTTTAGAAGATTAAGGGGGGAAAAACGATCATTAATTAGTATCTACCTTGCAGTCATCGTGCAGGCTGTTATCTCCTTACAGGACAATATCAAAGCATGCTCCGTAAGCAAAGACAGCAGGGCTGGAACTTGTGTTGGGAGGGAAAGAAATGTTTCCTTTTTCAGTTTTGCACAGCTTGGATAACAGTGGATTGGTTTTGCCCTTTTTTACTTTTCTTTATGAATTAGTACAGTATTGCAGCATCGCTCTAGCTCTGCAGGAGAAAAGCTTACTCCAGACCAGCTAGGACTTAAAACATTGCTGGAAACTTCTGAAAATGTCAGTATCTAAAATCACTTGCTGTGACAGGAAGAGAACGTAATTGTGTGTTACAGCAACACAGTTGCCATGGGAAGTAGCATCCAAACTCAGCATGGTGGCTTCACTCAGGCAGAAGAGAAGTAGAGCTATGAAGGCCTATTTGGAACACATTTTTGCTACCTGGTAGAAGAGCTTTTACAAGTTTGAAAATAGAGTGGATGAATTAATTTGACATTTAAGAAGTTTGCAAAGTCCCAGCCTGAGATTCCTCTCAAACGGTTAGAGGAAATTGCAGAATTCTTTGGAAGTAGCTGCCCTCTGCCTTTTCGTGTAGAGTGTGCCTTTCTGAATCATGTACCAAATAAACAATTTTACAGGATTATTTTTCTAACAAAGAAAAGAAATTGCACATTTCCACAGGTGCCCTGATCCCTTCTCTTCCTCCAGTGTCCCTTGTCCTTCTGCATCCGGTGCTGCGTCAATGAAATCCTAATCCGAGGCATTTGCACTAGCCACAACAACCTTGCAGATCTCTCCGTGCGGGGTCTCATGTGCTGTTACTGTCCCCTCTGCCCTTACAGGTGTCTACTTCGACAGCTGCGTCCGACAAATCAAGTTCGTTGACTTCTGTGGGAAGTATCGCCTCCCGCTGATGCACTACCTGTGCTCCCCCGAGTGCTCCTCTCCCTGCAGCTCTGCCTCCCAGAGCTCTACTTCCCAGAGCGAGTCTGACTCTGAGGACGAAGCCAGTGTCGCCGCTCGTAGGATGCAGAAAGTCCTTCTGGGATAACAGAGAGCGAGAGAGGAAGACTGGAAGGAAAGCGTGTTTGAGAAGTGGTGGTGGAACAGCAAAGCGTGAGCCTCCGGCCTGAAGGGCTCATGAGAAACTGTCCTCAAGCCCACGTAAGGGGCAGAACATCTTAGCAAGCCTAGCCTTGCTTGGTGCAGTGCTACTTAGGAGAACTAACTCAGTGGTGGACTGCCTGTAGGGTGCCTGGTGCCTGTAGGGTGCCTGGGGTTGTTAGAAACCTCTGCTGTCTGGGAGACACCCCCCCTCCCTCGTACGGGCTGGGGAGGGGGATTTGTTCTCACTGGCGGATTGAGAAGGGTTCTGATATGTGACACTTCACTGGACTTCAGTCGTCCTGCAGAGCAAAGGAGACTGTCCAGATCCTTTAACACTGTGGTAAATCAGAAACAGGCTAATGATGCCATGTGAGTGTATGTGGACCCCGATGGTTTATATAGTGTTCTGATTCTTTGCTCTCTCCTTTGATTTCAGTTACAGATTTTACACTCGTCCACTAAAAATGGGAGCTGAGGTTTTTTGTTCAGGAGTAGATTTTTCCAAACTCTGGTTGCTCTTCCTTTGCTTAGAGGCGTAGGGTGTCTGTGCTGTTACAGACGTTTCAGCCATCATAGAACTGAGCCACGTTTTTTTCTCCCTTGTTATACCAGGCTGCTCTTAGTGTTTCCTCCTAACTGTATTTGCTATTTTTCCTGCCTCTGCCTCTTCCCGTTACACCTGGAGTGTTACTGTCTTTATGGTGCCTTCAGAAAACGGAGGAGTTGTTTTGTGGAGGCTCGGTTTTACTTCAGACTTGTGGCTGTACATGCCTGTGCAAGGGACCAGATGCGATGCTCTGTATCATGGTTTTGAGTCTCAGCTTACTGGAGCAAATCTGCTTTTATGTCTGTGTATTGCAGGAAAGGTCTTGATTGACATTTCTTGTTCCTAAACAACCACGTCCCCCTGCTGCAGCTAGCTCTGCTGTGCTTGGTACAGAGTTCCTTTCTGTCTGTAAGGTCATCTGCTTAAAGTAGGCAGCAGCTTACTGAATTGCAAGTACTGAGAGAAGTGCCGCAGAGAATGAGGTTCTTTCTTATTCATAACGTGAGAGGAAAAGCGGTAGGGAGGCTGAGGCGTGTTGTCTGAGCATCGCGCACAAAGTGGTTTTCACACCCCTCCCGTATTTATTTGTTTCCATTTGGTCTTGTTAGAATAGCTGTGGCAGTCTGTTGGATCGTTGAAATAACACATTCAGTTATCTTAAACTATATTTAAAGGAAAGCTGCAGAAAATAGCTCAGAATTCTTAAGTATCAAGGAATAGCTTATAAAAATTAATATTATGAATTGACAGGTATCTCTAAATCTACTTTATGGGACTGTTTTGTGTTTTGCTCAGTGAGAGCTGCCTCTTTATTAATATTTAATGGCAGACAGTCCTCTTCGTGCAGCTTCAGATAGAGCAAATCCAACTGTGCCTCAAATGCATGAGCAGAGCAAATACATTGTGTTAAGAAGCTAAATGAACAAGAAAAACTTTTCTTAACCCACTTTGGTCCTAAGGGGAAGTTAAAAACCTGTGCTCCTCTGCTGCATTCCAAAAATGCATGTATCTGAATATTTTATGGCGGCTCTCTGTTAGTGGTCCTGTTTAATTATATTTGACACTTTATATATTGAAGCACTTTGATAATTCTACTCTTTGTAACTAGCTTTAGTGATTTTTTTTTTTTATTAGACTACAATTTTTCCTTTAATGTGACCTGAAGAACAAGGTCTGTGAAACTTTGTACGTTCCAGTCTGTCTCGGTGTGCAGGTTGAGCTTCTTGCCTTGCATTTCCTTGACAGCACTGCTCATTTCCCTGGTTTCCTTTGGGGACAACTGGAATTTGAAAGAAATGATCTGGCTGTAAAGTAGCACCCCCCGTTACTAATCATTGCGACTTAGTCTGAAGATTCCCCACACGCACAGATCCACAGGGAACTTAAATTGCACATGCTCTGTGCCCTTCCAAATAATTTCTTTGGAGTATATTTTTAAGACACAAAAAGGTATGTGTGCAAAGCAACTGCGTGTCACTTCAGCAAATTCTGTGAGGTTTGCGTGGTCAGAAGAACCTACAGATGTTGAGAGAAACCAGCTGCATGCTGTTAGTTAAATTTGGATCAGTAAGTGGCCTGTGTTTTGTTCTTTGTTTCATCTCTTTCAGATGCTTCTTCCTGTCCCAAGTGAATATTGTCATACCAGTGCTACAGGACAGTAAACTGATTGCAGAGCCACAGTTTTGAATTGGGTGGTAGTGTAACAGTAGTGAGCAACTGAGTGATCTGGAGCTTGGCTCTTCTGCCAGTGAAAGTGAGCCACACAAGTTGAGATCTCAAGATCTTTTGAGCTCAGGGCCATGAGATAGCACCTTCCTTTCTTCTCTTTAGCAGCAGCTGTCTTGAATCCAGGTATTTTTTCACTTCACAGAGTTAGATTTCACCACGGTTTCTGTTTGCACAGTAGCACCTCTGTGTGTGGCAGGCTAAGACCAGTGGTGGCTGGTTCTAATTTAGCTCCATCCTTAACTACACTTTCTTTTCTAACTGAACAGGCATCCCATTTCTGCCCCAATTCTAATAGGGCTAATAGCCTAATCTTTTTTCACAGCTTCTTCACTGTAGCCAGGTCAAAACTTGACAGCTTGTACAGTTAATATCTCTATGCATTTTTAGACTTGATGAAATGTCTTATCTCTTAAAAATGTATATATATTCCTGAATATAGCTACCAAGTTTTCTTTTTGCTGCTGGACTTTTAAGTGCAATTCAAGTAAGTCAGAATTTAAAACGATAAAGGACTTGTAAGAAAAAGAAATGGTTGGTTGGTTGGTTAGGTTGGGGTTTTTTGCCCTCAGATGGATTTGAGAGGACTAGGGATGCGGGTTTGTACTGTAGTGCGTAATGTACTGAGCCCCTAGGAGTCAAGTTTTTCAGCAATTGTTAGCCCCCAAAGACTGGAAAAATGTACTGGGCAATAAAATAGGTAAGACACAACTTGAAAGTACACTGATGGACGGTAGGGTCTGGTTCCTACTGTCCCCTTCTCAGGGGCCCTGAGAAGTAGACAGCGGTTTTGCCAGCATTATGGCTCTTTCTGTCAGTTTTAAATAGTGGATTTCAGTTCCTACAGATGCGTCTCCAAGTGAAGTCTTCAGCAGTGTTTGGGTATCAGTCCCCTTGTTGCTACAGCAGCCCAGCATGTCCAGCGTTTGAAACTGTTCTTAAGCTGAGACGCAAGTGTGTGAAGCAGAGTTGCTCGTTCCCTCTTCCCCGCGGGGCCTGGGGCCCTGCCTGCATTCATCCTCTGCCTCGCCATCTCTCTGCCAAGGGGAGCTGCTGGTGCGTTTCTGAATGCAGGTCCTTAATGTGAGCAGTGGGGTCGCGTTAAAAACGAGCAAAATATCAATTTGACTGAAAGGAACTTACACAGTTGCCAATTCTTTTATGTTTCTCTAATAAGAGGTGAGACTTGAGGAAGTCAGTAATGAATATTTAAACATACTCTGAAGTGGCCAGATGCAGTTTTTCATGGGCTTCTGTCCTGGTCATTTTAAGTCTTTGAAATCTTGTGTTGAATTATAATGGGAGTAGGGGGGGGGGGGGAAGAAGCCAGCTCCTTTTTGTTCATTGCTCTTGTTGGCAATAATGAATGGAAGGAATTTAATCCAATGAAAGTAATGAAACTTAATCCCTGCAATGTGTCTTTGTTACCCAGTTCAAAGAACTATTTTAAAGCATCTGATTCACACTATGCCCTCCCTCCCCAACTGAAGACACTTCAAATGGACTACTTTAGAATGCACACTAATGCAGCAGTAACTCTATCTTGGAAACCTTGGTATTGATTATTTCATTTGCCTGCCTGACTTGAGGATTGATCTTTTACTGACCTGAACATTAAGTGTAGAAAGGGTTCTTATCCAGCCCTCTTGTTGAATTTTTATCGTGAGCATTTGTTTTAGGAAATCTTAAAGTGCCTTATGTTTTTAAAACTGTATTTTGCTAGAAATATATGAATGTAGACTATCTCTAACAGTATTTCATTATGAGCTCTAAAACAAATTGCAAACATTAAACCAAAAATGTTATTTCTACAGTTGTCTGTCCATTATTTGCTGGTGTCTTGATTCCGGTTTGCTGCAGGCAGAACCCCTGCAGAATTGTAAACGTTTAAAAATGGGGCTGCACATGGTCGGGGAACAGAAGAGGTCTGACCCTGTGCTGTGTAAAACTAAGAGCAGGTGAGACTTCCAGAAGGACTGCTGAAACTCTTGGCTTTTGGGGCCTGCTTTTGACACCCGTGTGTGTTACCGACCGGACCCTGTTTTGCTTCTGGTGTAGTGTTGCAGAAATTTGCTCCGCAGTTTAAAGGTAGAAGTAGCACACAGGCAAGATAAATACATGAGCAAGAGAAGGCAGTGTCGTGGTGGAGTTGCCTGCAATGTGAAAAAACACTTTTAAGCTTCTTGAATTGTTTCCCTCTTAATATGCTAAGCCTGAAACCTGTAAATGATTTTTTGAATGTTAATTTTCTGATCATGTTAACTGGCTAATGTGTTCCCATTTCTTGTGTAATCCCATGCTTCCTCCTACATCCTGAGGAGTTTTTGTGATCTATTGCCAAAATGTTTCAGATCCTGCCGTGCAATTACCAGTTGCCAGTGCAGAAATGTGGTGTATTGGAAAATGGGGCAGTGGGGAAAAAATAATTACTTGATACTAACTTCAGTAGGAACTCTTTCAGAGATGGTTCAGCTTCAGGTATAATGAGAAACCTCTCAAATTATGCAGCAGCCCCATGTCAAATAACATAAAATACTGAGGAATGCAGTGACCTTGCCTGTAATAACCAGGCTGAGAATATTCTTGCCTCTTTTTGTTAACTAATTTAAAAGTCCCCTTCTCTGTGCTGTCTTAATACCCTTCTTATATTCAGAAACGAAATCCTGGAAGCG